TCTGCTTATAAATGCTGATCATTTATTGTTTGATTTGAACCTGCGTGTTTTTGCTCCGAATGATTTTGTAGTGGCGTGGTAAAGACAATCCGTCCAATTTAACTCTTCATTAATTCCCCCTTTTCTTTTCTTTTTTGGTAGAATAATTTCCCCTTTTCCACTCTCTCAGTCCCCGCCGAAGTTGAAACAATCCCATGTGATATATTTATCGTTCATTTTAACCCTTCACTTAATAAGAAAGCGAAATTATGCAAGATGGTCATCAATGTGATGTAGCTTAATTGGTTAATTGTCTCTTATTTGCTTAGTCAATAAAGTAGAGGTTTGTGGTTCGATATTTAGTGAGTATCAATTTTTAATTTATGTTTTGAAAAGCAAGTTATAATTTTAATTTATCAGCGTATAGGTATACGATATTGTATAAGGTGTTGATGGTTTAGACTTTAGAGTACATGGTATTGGGTTAGTGTATTGATCATCTCCATCCCTAAAATACGATATTGTATAAGGTGTTGATGGTTTAGAGTATATGGTATTGGATTAGTGTATTGATCATCTTCATCCCTAAAATTGAACAACAATTTCTAAACGAGGTCCCTACCGCCACATCATCAATTTTAGCAATTCATCACTTAACAATTTCTATTCATCTACATCCCTAAATTATGCTAGTAATTGCCAAGGTGGGTTCCATTTTATATTTCAAAGGAAACACTTATTATAAAATGAAAGTTGGGGATGGAGATAGAAGAAGGTGTTGTTGGTATACAGTATAAGGTCTTGAAGTTTATGGTATAAGGGAGGAGCAAGGTGTTGATGGTTTAAAGTATATATGTTATTGATTGGTTACGGTATAAGCCTATAAGGTGTTGTTATTGTTGTAGAGTATATGGTATTGATTGGTTCGTGTATTAGGGTTTGGTTTAGGGTTTAGGGTTTGGTTTAGGGTTTAGGGTTACAAGTACATGTACCAAATCTGTAGATTAATTTTGGTAAACGAAAAAGTTAGTTAATCTACAAAGCCAGTCTAAAGGCACATCCCCATCTCCCGCCGTCAATTCCTAAATTTTCGTTTAATCCGATGGTGAAAGAGCTTCAATCCTAACCGCGGCGTGTCACCCAATCAGATATTGCCGAATTCGGAAAGTCGCTTTTGCCCATAACCAATGCTGGCGTTACCAAGGCCGAGGCAGTGGTAGGGACTGAAATTTTCAGTAAATGTGAAGGGAGGGAAAGTAAAAGTAATTACGAGTCAATCTATAAATTCGTTAATCAGTGAAGGAGAGACCGTGCTCCGATCCCTGAAAAGAACCCTTTCTTCCATCTTCTCAATATGAAACTCCGAAAATCAACCCCATCCGCCTCTTCGTCCTCCTATCCCATGCTTTATTTTCGGGTGCAGTGGTAATGATGAGACTGCGTATTATTTTAGATCTCATTTCCTTTAATTATGTCATTGTTAGATCATGACTGTTAAACTAAATCCTTCGTTGTATTGTTTCTCCTTTTCTCTCCATGCAGGGTCTTTGTTAGAGGCAGGGAGGGGAGCAATGACAATAAGTCGCCGTCTGAATATAGCCAAAAGAATCATCACATGTTGTTGCGATTCCATAATAGGTGTTGTGGAACCCTACGTCATGTGGTGTTTCTTTTGCGCCATATTGACGCGTACTTGTTGATCATGCTCCCAAATTGTATACAAGATAGGAAAGTTGTCATATGTATAATAGGATAAAATAGGGAGGGAAAGTACAGTCTTTTGTTTTTGTTGGACTCTATGTAACATTTGTTTATATTTGTATACTGTTTTGTTATTTTTTCTTCTGCTTCTCTCTTCGCTTCCATGGCGGCTTCCAAAAGTGTTTGAGATCTTCTAAATACGGGAGGGATCCTCCACTCCCAATAAAAATACTGTACTTTGTACTATTAGCGTTTGAGATCTTCTAAATCTGCAGGGGATCCTACACTCCCAATAAAAATACTGTACTTTGTACTATTAGCGTTTGAGATCTTCTAAAATCTGCAGGGGATTCTACACTCCCAATAAAAATTATGTACTTTATTTGTTTACTACTGACTCCATTTTTAGAAGTCTTTACGATTGGCCCAACCGGATTTTTTGCCGGATTTCGAACTCTGCTCCTCTGTCGCCACATGCTCTACCCATTTAATGAGTGCAAAAAATTAGTGCAAAAAATACGATGTAATAATTGAATAAAAAAAACTAGTTCTCAAGATTATTCAACTGAAATGTTGCACATGATTTATAGGGTCGTTTGGATGTGGAAATTTTAAAACGTTGAAATTTGTCTGAATTTCCATGTTTTACAAACCCAAGGAATTGACTTGTGGAAATTGAAAAAAAAACTCACGTTTGGATAAGGTTTAGTTTTGTGAGAATTGATGGTATGGAATTCGGAAAAAGAAGTAAGAAAACGTGGTAATGTCAAATTACTAGGGGGAGGTGTAGTATTCTCAATTACCATGAATGTGGTAATTGAAGCCAATTTCCATGGTCCAATTTCCATACTATTTTGGCTCTCCCAAACGTGGGTTTTTAACCCAATTACTGCATTATGTGGTAATTGGGTCCAATTACTGCATTACATTTCCACATCCAAGTGCTTAAAAATTGCCATCAAGTGACCATTAATGAGTGCATAAATTAAACGACACCGCAAGAGCCAACAGTCTTCTTATATACCAAACGACTCGGCATAGGAGGACTTCCAGTTTCAGTTCAAGTTTCCAACACCGAGCAAATATATGGTCCCAATTCCCACTTTCACTCCCTTGCCACATCAGCTTGCAATTCTCAAGAATTGCACCATTGGAGATGGTCTAAATAAGCAAGGTGTTGATGGTTTAGTGTATATGTTATTGATTGGTTCGTGTATTAGGGTTTGGCATTGCAAGAAGAATTCCTAATTTAGCAATCTTGCTAGTTTAGAAAAAATTTCCTAGGTGGCATTGCAATCTTGCTAAATAATGGTGCCACCTAGGATTCCACTAAATAAGCAATGGGTTGGATTGGTTCGGGTAAGACCATCTCCATCCCTAGCAATTTCTAAACGTGGTCCTTACAGCCACATCGTCATATTTAGCAATTTCAGTTAAAAGAATTGCAAACCACCTACATCCCTAAGTTTTCTTTGTAATTTCTAAATAAGCAATTGCCTCTCCATCCCTTGCAATTGCCAATTGAGTTGCCACCTAGACTTTGCCAATTGCTAAAGGTTGGTTTAGCAATGGGATGGAGTTGCTCTAAGGTGTTATTGTTGTAGAGTATATGGTATTGATTGGTTCGTGTATTAGGGTTTGGTTTAGGGTTTAGGGTTTAGGGTTTAGGGTTACAAGTACATGTACCAAATCTGTAGATTATTTTTGGTAAACGAAAAAGTTAGTTAATCTACAAAGCCAGTCTAAAAGCACATCCCCATCTCCCGCCGTCAATTCCTAAATTTTCGTTTAATCCGATGGTGAGAGAGCTTCAATCCTAACCGCGGCGTGTCACCCAATCAGATATCGCCGTTTTCGGAAAGTCGCATTTGCCCCTAACCAGTGCTGACGTTACCAAGGCCGAGGCAGCGGTAGGGAGTGTGATTTTCAGTAAATAGGAAGGGCTGGAAAGGCAAAGTAAATTTATGAGCTCATTTATAAATTCTTTAATCAGAGAGGGAGAGACCATGCTCCGAAACCCAAGAGGCACTCATCTCCTGCTGTTGTCCGTTCCTCCTCTCAATCCCTGAAAAGACCCCTTTCTCCCATCTTCTCTACCCCGAAAATCAACCCCTTTCTCCCATCTTCTCAACCCCGAAAATCAACCCCATCCGCCTCTTCGTCCTCCTGTCCATGCTTTATTTTCGGGTGCAGTGGTAATGATGAGACTGCGTATTATTTTAGATCTCAGTTCCTTTAATTATGTCATTGTTAGATCATGACTGTTAAACTAAATCCTTCGTTGTATTGTTTCTCCTTTGCTCTCTATGCAGGGTCTTTGTTAGAGGAAGGGAGGCGAGCAATGACAATAAGTCGCCGTCTGAATATAGCCCAAAGAATCATCACATGTTGTTGCGATTCCATAATAGGTGTTGTGGAACCCTACGTCATGTGATGGTTCTTCTGGGCTACATTTACGTGTACTTGTTGATCATGCTCCCAAAATATATACAAGAGGGGAAAGTTGCCATATGTATAGTATAAAAGTTGGAGGAGGGAAAGTACATTGTTTTCTTTTTCAAGATTTGTACTTTTAGTGTTTGAGATCTTAATAATATATCGGTGAGGGATCTTTCACTCAATAAAAATATTGTAGTTTATTTCTTGATTACTGCCTCCATTTTCAGAAGTCCTCTGTCGGCGAATGCTCTTGTCATTTCACGCCCAAATTACATTTCATAATTTTAGTAGCCAAAATCCGATCTAATAATTCAATAAAAAAAAACGAGTGAGAAAAATAATTCAACTGAAATGTTGCACATGATTTATTTAGGGAGCAACCTCCATATCGACTTCAATAAAATCCATCCGAACTAAATAAAACGACACCGTAGCAGGCAGTAGTCTTCTTATAGACCAAAGAGACACATAAATAAAACGACACACAAGTAAAACGACACCGCAGACGGCAACAGTCTTCTTATAAATCAAACGACGCCGCTTCAAGCTGATACTGGCAGTCTTCACATAGTCCATTAGTCCTAATCCGAATAGGATAAGGACGTCCATCTTCACTCCAAGTTTTCAACAATCCTTAGTTTGCTACTTCTTGTAACAGGCCTCTTCTGCAAAATCGATAACGACGATTTTAGACGTACAAAATTATTGGGTGCAACTGCATTGTGTAGACACGAACAATTATATCTTATTCTTACCCTAGGTTGCTCATAATCGTCGTCATCGTCATTTTCATCATCGTCATTTTCATCATCGGATGGCCCAGACCCAGTACACGTTCTTGCATTATGATTGGTAGAACCACACTTACTGCAATGCTTTTGCCTTCTCTTCTGTACTGTTTCCGACTGATCTTGAGTGCTGGGAGGATCAACATCGGTGTCATCGCCACCGCCACCTTCTTCCGAAACACCATCATTCGGGGCATCACCGTTTGAGGTTGGCTTCACATAGCCAACAGGATGTGGGCATCGGGTCCTATAGTGGCCAAATTCACCGCAATTGCTACACTGTCGTGGTTCTCCTTTCTTCCTTTTAGATTTTTTAGCACCCGAACCTTTATCTTTGACTTGTAATGGATCCACATTCGAAGAGAAGATCCCCATCCAATATGAAATCCTCACATAATCATCGTTTTGAACCCCAAATCCTTTTATCCACAAATCGACGGTTTGTTCATCGCCATTTTATTTCCGTGCGGAATTTACTCGCCTATCTCTTTCTAACACGATTACGGCGTCCATGTCTATTATTGTGTTCATCAAACTTTTCGTTTGCAAAAGAACCCTTGAAAGAGGTTTGCTAACCCTAGGGTTCATGTCGCTAGTGCTTTGTCATCTTGTCTTAGCGTTATTGTCATTTTCTCGAAACTTCTATCACTCGGTGAAATTAAGGTTTCCTGATATGCAGTGTTCGTCTCGCCCAGAGGATTGAGGAAGGAGATGAAGATGACCTAATTTGATTCGAATCAGATGGAGAGGTCTCCTTAATTTGTGTTTATGTATTAACGGTGCGTTTAGGACTAATTCTAGTTGGACTGGGTCTGATCATTGATTTTTGCAGGCTTTTAAATAACATTCAAACGTGGGCTTGTACATGACCCATGACACCTAGTTTGTTGATAATAGATACTGAGTTCCGGATTGTCTTTAGGTTGGGCCTTTGATAATTGTCTATCTCAGTGGCGATTCTCTGTTTTACTTATTTTCATCTGCTTCTGCTTCTAAAATCCTGATCATTCATTGAGTACACGCAATTTAAACATAATTCTTTGTTCCATCTTTTTTGGGATTTGGTAAATGCTAGCGTGTCTCTTTACACATTTAGCGGTACGAGGTAAACTACAATCCGCCCAATTTAACTCTTCATTAATTGAGATCCCATTCCACTCTCTCACCGATTTCCCCTCTTTATGCAATGCACTCGTACATAACAAACCTCTTGTAGACTAATTAGAGGCTTGTGGTTGGATACTGAGTGAGGATATTTTTTTAATTTATGTTTTGAAACGAAAGTTAGAATTTCACTTTTGAAGTACCTATGTACTTTAGTTGGGCAAGTATTTTCAAAATGTAAAATTTTATTAGCGTATAGGTATACGATTGTTGTATAAGGTGTTGATGTTAAAGGAAATGGGTACTGACTGCTTAGGGTATTAGGTTGTTGATGGTATAGAGTATATGGTATATGGGTAGGTTATAAGGTGTTGATGGTTTAGAGCATATGGTATCGATTGGTTAAAGGGTGAGGGTAGGTGTTGTCTTATTTTTTTCTCGATTTTATATTTTCTTTATATCTGCTTATAAATGCTGATCATGCCTTATTACTAAAAAAACTTAGACATAATTATTGTAGCGTGACACATTTATCAGTACTTAGACATAATTCTTTATATCTGCTTATAAATGCTGATCATTTATTGTTTGATTTGAACCTGCGTGTTTTTGCTCCGAATGATTTTGTAGTGGCGTGGTAAAGACAATCCGTCCAATTTAACTCTTCATTAATTCCCCCTTTTCTTTTCTTTTTTGGTAGAATAATTTCCCCTTTTCCACTCTCTCAGTCCCCGCCGAAGTTGAAACAATCCCATGTGATATATTTATCGTTCATTTTAACCCTTCACTTAATAAGAAAGCGAAATTATGCAAGATGGTCATCAATGTGATGTAGCTTAATTGGTTAATTGTCTCTTATTTGCTTAGTCAATAAAGTAGAGGTTTGTGGTTCGATATTTAGTGAGTATCAATTTTTAATTTATGTTTTGAAAAGCAAGTTATAATTTTAATTTATCAGCGTATAGGTATACGATATTGTATAAGGTGTTGATGGTTTAGACTTTAGAGTACATGGTATTGGGTTAGTGTATTGATCATCTCCATCCCTAAAATACGATATTGTATAAGGTGTTGATGGTTTAGAGTATATGGTATTGGATTAGTGTATTGATCATCTTCATCCCTAAAATTGAACAACAATTTCTAAACGAGGTCCCTACCGCCACATCATCAATTTTAGCAATTCATCACTTAACAATTTCTATTCATCTACATCCCTAAATTATGCTAGTAATTGCCAAGGTGGGTTCCATTTTATATTTCAAAGGAAACACTTATTATAAAATGAAAGTTGGGGATGGAGATAGAAGAAGGTGTTGTTGGTATACAGTATAAGGTCTTGAAGTTTATGGTATAAGGGAGGAGCAAGGTGTTGATGGTTTAAAGTATATATGTTATTGATTGGTTACGGTATAAGCCTATAAGGTGTTGTTATTGTTGTAGAGTATATGGTATTGATTGGTTCGTGTATTAGGGTTTGGTTTAGGGTTTAGGGTTTGGTTTAGGGTTTAGGGTTACAAGTACATGTACCAAATCTGTAGATTAATTTTGGTAAACGAAAAAGTTAGTTAATCTACAAAGCCAGTCTAAAGGCACATCCCCATCTCCCGCCGTCAATTCCTAAATTTTCGTTTAATCCGATGGTGAAAGAGCTTCAATCCTAACCGCGGCGTGTCACCCAATCAGATATTGCCGAATTCGGAAAGTCGCTTTTGCCCATAACCAATGCTGGCGTTACCAAGGCCGAGGCAGTGGTAGGGACTGAAATTTTCAGTAAATGTGAAGGGAGGGAAAGTAAAAGTAATTACGAGTCAATCTATAAATTCGTTAATCAGTGAAGGAGAGACCGTGCTCCGATCCCTGAAAAGAACCCTTTCTTCCATCTTCTCAATATGAAACTCCGAAAATCAACCCCATCCGCCTCTTCGTCCTCCTATCCCATGCTTTATTTTCGGGTGCAGTGGTAATGATGAGACTGCGTATTATTTTAGATCTCATTTCCTTTAATTATGTCATTGTTAGATCATGACTGTTAAACTAAATCCTTCGTTGTATTGTTTCTCCTTTTCTCTCCATGCAGGGTCTTTGTTAGAGGCAGGGAGGGGAGCAATGACAATAAGTCGCCGTCTGAATATAGCCAAAAGAATCATCACATGTTGTTGCGATTCCATAATAGGTGTTGTGGAACCCTACGTCATGTGGTGTTTCTTTTGCGCCATATTGACGCGTACTTGTTGATCATGCTCCCAAATTGTATACAAGATAGGAAAGTTGTCATATGTATAATAGGATAAAATAGGGAGGGAAAGTACAGTCTTTTGTTTTTGTTGGACTCTATGTAACATTTGTTTATATTTGTATACTGTTTTGTTATTTTTTCTTCTGCTTCTCTCTTCGCTTCCATGGCGGCTTCCAAAAGTGTTTGAGATCTTCTAAATACGGGAGGGATCCTCCACTCCCAATAAAAATACTGTACTTTGTACTATTATCGTTTGAGATCTTCTAAATCTGCAGGGGATCCTACACTCCCAATAAAAATACTGTACTTTGTACTATTAGCGTTTGAGATCTTCTAAAATCTGCAGGGGATTCTACACTCCCAATAAAAATTGTGTACTTTATTTGTTTACTACTGACTCCATTTTTAGAAGTCTTTACGATTGGCCCAACCGGATTTTTTGCCGGATTTCGAACTCTGCTCCTCTGTCGCCACATGCTCTACCCATTTAATGAGTGCAAAAAATTAGTGCAAAAAATACGATGTAATAATTGAATAAAAAAAACTAGTTCTCAAGATTATTCAACTGAAATGTTGCACATGATTTATAGGGTCGTTTGGATGTGGAAATTTTAAAACGTTGAAATTTGTCTGAATTTCCATGTTTTACAAAACCAAGGAATTGACTTGTGGAAATTGAAAAAAAAACTCACGTTTGGATAAGGTTTAGTTTTGTGAGAATTGATGGTATGGAATTCGGAAAAAGAAGTAAGAAAACGTGGTAATGTCAAATTACTAGGGGGAGGTGTAGTATTCTCAATTACCATGAATGTGGTAATTGAAGCCAATTTCCATGGTCCAATTTCCATACTATTTTGGCTCTCCCAAACGTGGGTTTTTAACCCAATTACTGCATTATGTGGTAATTGGGTCCAATTACTGCATTACATTTCCACATCCAAGTGCTTAAAAATTGCCATCAAGTGACCATTAATGAGTGCATAAATTAAACGACACCGCAAGAGCCAACAGTCTTCTTATATACCAAACGACTCGGCATAGGAGGACTTCCAGTTTCAGTTCAAGTTTCCAACACCGAGCAAATATATGGTCCCAATTCCCACTTTCACTCCCTTGCCACATCAGCTTGCAATTCTCAAGAATTGCACCATTGGAGATGGTCTAAATAAGCAAGGTGTTGATGGTTTAGTGTATATGTTATTGATTGGTTCGTGTATTAGGGTTTGGCATTGCAAGAAGAATTCCTAATTTAGCAATCTTGCTAGTTTAGAAAAAATTTCCTAGGTGGCATTGCAATCTTGCTAAATAATGGTGCCACCTAGGATTCCACTAAATAAGCAATGGGTTGGATTGGTTCGGGTAAGACCATCTCCATCCCTAGCAATTTCTAAACGTGGTCCTTACAGCCACATCGTCATATTTAGCAATTTCAGTTAAAAGAATTGCAAACCACCTACATCCCTAAGTTTTCTTTGTAATTTCTAAATAAGCAATTGCCTCTCCAGCCCTTGCAATTGCCAATTGAGTTGCCACCTAGACTTTGCCAATTGCTAAAGGTTGGTTTAGCAATGGGATGGAGTTGCTCTAAGGTGTTATTGTTGTAGAGTATATGGTATTGATTGGTTCGTGTATTAGGGTTTGGTTTAGGGTTTAGGGTTTAGGGTTTAGGGTTACAAGTACATGTACCAAATCTGTAGATTATTTTTGGTAAACGAAAAAGTTAGTTAATCTACAAAGCCAGTCTAAAAGCACATCCCCATCTCCCGCCGTCAATTCCTAAATTTTCGTTTAATCCGATGGTGAGAGAGCTTCAATCCTAACCGCGGCGTGTCACCCAATCAGATATCGCCGTTTTCGGAAAGTCGCATTTGCCCCTAACCAGTGCTGACGTTACCAAGGCCGAGGCAGCGGTAGGGAGTGTGATTTTCAGTAAATAGGAAGGGCTGGAAAGGCAAAGTAAATTTATGAGCTCATTTATAAATTCTTTAATCAGAGAGGGAGAGACCATGCTCCGAAACCCAAGAGGCACTCATCTCCTGCTGTTGTCCGTTCCTCCTCTCAATCCCTGAAAAGACCCCTTTCTCCCATCTTCTCTACCCCGAAAATCAACCCCTTTCTCCCATCTTCTCAACCCCGAAAATCAACCCCATCCGCCTCTTCGTCCTCCTGTCCATGCTTTATTTTCGGGTGCAGTGGTAATGATGAGACTGCGTATTATTTTAGATCTCAGTTCCTTTAATTATGTCATTGTTAGATCATGACTGTTAAACTAAATCCTTCGTTGTATTGTTTCTCCTTTGCTCTCTATGCAGGGTCTTTGTTAGAGGCAGGGAGGCGAGCAATGACAATAAGTCGCCGTCTGAATATAGCCCAAAGAATCATCACATGTTGTTGCGATTCCATCATAGGTGTTGTGGAACCCTACGTCATGTGATGGTTCTTCTGGGCTACATTTACGTGTACTTGTTGATCATGCTCCCAAAATATATACAAGAGGGGAAAGTTGCCATATGTATAGTATAAAAGTTGGAGGAGGGAAAGTACATTGTTTTCTTTTTCAAGATTTGTACTTTTAGTGTTTGAGATCTTAATAATATATCGGTGAGGGATCTTTCACTCAATAAAAATATTGTAGTTTATTTCTTGATTACTGCCTCCATTTTCAGAAGTCCTCTGTCGGCGAATGCTCTTGTCATTTCACGCCCAAATTACATTTCATAATTTTAGTAGCCAAAATCCGATCTAATAATTCAATAAAAAAAAACGAGTGAGAAAAATAATTCAACTGAAATGTTGCACATGATTTATTTAGGGAGCAACCTCCATATCGACTTCAATAAAATCCATCCGAACTAAATAAAACGACACCGTAGCAGGCAGTAGTCTTCTTATAGACCAAAGAGACACATAAATAAAACGACACACAAGTAAAACGACACCGCAGACGGCAACAGTCTTCTTATAAATCAAACGACGCCGCTTCAAGCTGATACTGGCAGTCTTCACATAGTCCATTAGTCCTAATCCGAATAGGATAAGGACGTCCATCTTCACTCCAAGTTTTCAACAATCCTTAGTTTGCTACTTCTTGTAACAGGCCTCTTCTGCAAAATCGATAACGACGATTTTAGACGTACAAAATTATTGGGTGCAACTGCATTGTGTAGACACGAACAATTATATCTTATTCTTACCCTAGGTTGCTCATAATCGTCGTCATCGTCATTTTCATCATCGTCATTTTCATCATCGGATGGCCCAGACCCAGTACACGTTCTTGCATTATGATTGGTAGAACCACACTTACTGCAATGCTTTTGCCTTCTCTTCTGTACTGTTTCCGACTGATCTTGAGTGCTGGGAGGATCAACATCGGTGTCATCGCCACCGCCACCTTCTTCCGAAACACCATCATTCGGGGCATCACCGTTTGAGGTTGGCTTCACATAGCCAACAGGATGTGGGCATCGGGTCCTATAGTGGCCAAATTCACCGCAATTGCTACACTGTCGTGGTTCTCCTTTCTTCCTTTTAGATTTTTTAGCACCCGAACCTTTATCTTTGACTTGTAATGGATCCAACAAAATTTCATTCGCCTTCGGCCTATTAATGCCGGGTATGTCCACGTTGCCAGTGTCCACCATGTCCAACTTTTCACATAATGATTGAATTCCCTCACGAGCAATCTTGAAGCACTCACTAGATTTTGCCCCTTTTAACATTAGTTGTAAGCTGTGTTGTTGAATAGTACCATACCTGATTGACACAAGATTTTATACAAAGTGAGTAAAATTAATGTTCACCTAGCTTCGAACCAATACTAAAAAAAAAAAATTAAAAGTGATAGTCATGGCAAACCTCAATGCGAAAAGTTGCGATTCATCTAGTCTGCCCGGTTCCTCCAAGCTCTCTAGTGTCTTCGGCTTCTTTGACCATCTTCGACGTACTAGGCCTTCATGAAGTTCCAGTATGCTCTCTTCTTTCAGTACAAAAATCATATGACGACATGGTATTCCCATATAATTGTAGTGATTACAACTACATTCCATTGCAAAGGGTTCAACTGCGTACGTGACTTGAAAAACCTTAGCCATGCCAGACACCTTGACCTTGTACACATGCTCAATTTCCGATCGCTCTGTCTCCAACCTTATGCAACATGCCAACTTTTCAACCTCGTCTCTGAATAAGAAGAATGCGTTCTTTGTGAAAACCGCCGCTCCACTCTTCTGAAGTGAGACTAAGACATTGCTTGTGATGGTTCGTTCTCGATGAATGGATTCAAAATTAGCATGACGCTCATTCTCCCTCATATCCCTAGTCCAACGATCAAAGTGAATAAAGAACTCAAGGAGATTTTTATCCTTCTCGATATAATTGGCAAGTTGAGAGTTCAGTCCTTCACATCTTGATGTTGTACTCAAGCCTGCAAAGAAGTTCGAACGCAAATATGCATACCCCCATTCATGTCTTTGGTCAAATAAATTGGAGACCCAATTGTTGTGCTGAAGGGAGCATTCCTCAACCACTGTTTTCCACTTTTCTTCGAATTCTGAAGGTTCCCAGTCAGCTGACACAAAATGCTTCCATTGGGGCAAAAAAGTAGGATGATTCTTCACATTTCTGGTTATAGTCTTGTCTATATGCCAAGAACATAGACGATGTGTTGCATCGGGAAATACTTTCTGAATAGCATTACGCATTGCTCTATCCCCATCTGTAATAACAGTCTTGGGATCTACACCGCCTAGCCTTCTCTTCAAAGCTCCCAACACCCAAATATAATTGTCCTCTCTCTCGTTAGCCAAGAAAGCACATGCAAATACGCAAGTTTGCGAATGGTGGTTGACACCTAAAAAAGTTCAAACAAAGTTAGATTATGCAAACTTCTAGGGTTATTTTAGCATGCTCGGGATAATTCTATGTGTCAAGGAAAAGTACCTGAAAAAATCACGAGAGGCATCTGGTAAATGTTCCTTTTGTAAGTAGCATCGAATGACAGTAATTCTCCAAAGCATGCATAATCAGCAACAGAAATACTATCGGCCCAGAAAATGTTAATAAGCCGGTCGTCGTCATCCTTCTTTAGTTCAATAACGAAATGCTCGTCCGCGCTGCATTTAGCTTGCAGGTAGGCTAGGGCTGTTGCGGCATCACCTTCACTGATTTGTTCTTTCCTCTCTTTGTCCACATAATTATATGCATCCTTCCTCGTGTACCCCAAATTGTCGTAGCCTCCTGCTTCTGATACGGCCAGATTTACAATTTGAGAAGTTTTCATACCCGCAGCTCTTCTAAAATTTATCGCTGCTTTCACTGCATCACTCATACGACGTTTCCCTTTCATGTAGTGTCTATATTCTCTGGGGATCGTTTCATGTGTGTGTACATCATCAAACTGGTGCACATACCACTTCCCATCGACATTGTGTTGTTTAACACGCATCTTGGCTCTGCAGTTAAATCTAGTCTCCCCTCTTGCTTCTCTCTTTCGTTCTGTGCTCTTCACGCGCCTCTTTCCCTCGCCAGAGCATACATAGTCACGCCATATCATAACTTTGTTCTTATCACGACCAATGTATGATTTTCTGATGTCGAAGCCTTTGACTAACCCGTAGTCCATGTAGAAATCATAGGCTTCTTCTGTATCATCGAACTTCATTTTTTTAATATCTTCAGGCTGTAGCAATATGAGATCGGCGACATTATCTTCCTGGGTGGTGTGACTGGTTCCGGCACCAGCGTTTTCTTGGACTCCCTCCGACGTCAATACTAGGACTCCCTCCGACGTCAATGGTGAGTCTTCCTCCGACGTCATTGTCACGGCTGCAAATTTTGGGGAACCAAGGACGTAGATTACAAAACCCTACTGGGAATGATGGCCGAATTAATGATTCAATGGGCCACTTAATAATTATCCCCATTAATAACACGATTTGTGATATCTTATATTTTTGGTAGGAACGAGTTGAACTTTCTGTTCTTTATCTTAGTGATTTCTTTACCATTTTCACAAATAACGAAAATATTTAAAATGAAAAACCTTTCGTAGTAAACCCAAACGCCAGCTGACTCTAGGTGTCCTCAAGTTGTATGGGGAAGGATCAAATATTAATATGAGCGAATATTTACTAATAGCACTCAATTCTTTATTCAATCGAAAAAAGTATCTTTTTACTTTTAGGTTTAATAACTACCCATGTTTATCCCAAGTTCATTTACTTTAGACTAAACCCTAACTATTTTTCCGCGGGAAAAATATGGCGCCAAAATCTATCCTAACCTTGTATATATAATTAACCTTCATCGGTAGAGCAGTGGTTCCATATCCTTCTTTGCCGCGATTTTGAGTACAGAGTAAAGCTTAGATCAGAGGCACAACATGGAAAATAGGAGACTTACTCTCTCTTCGTCCAAGCTTGTGGTATGTATAATAGCTCTTTTTACCATTGAAATTCATTCTAGTTAATTTATTAATCGCAGGTTCACTGTCATTGTAGGAGACAGCCGAATTTTTGACTCCAACAAAGAAACCAAGGATACCCAAAGGTGTCAGCACTCCACCCACTCCTGCTTCAGTCATCGTTTTTATTTCGGACGATGAATCTGACTCTGAGGTCACACCAAAGAAGCCAAATGGAAAAAGTATTTGTCTACCTTCGGTTGACAAGGTAATAAAGGTGTCATGTTTGCCATTGAAGTGTTCATTGCCGTTATTCCGTCATAACGAATGCATTTCAACTCGTGTTTATTTGTGGCCCCTATTCCAGGTTGTTTTGAAGTTTAAGCTACCTACCGCTATGGAATACGATGATGAGCAAATCCAGCTTGCTCACTATATATTCTTAGCCCATCTGCCACCTGACGAAGTATTGGTCAAAACCTCCAACAACTCCTGTACGAGGAAGTCATTGTGGTCCTTAAGCCCTCGCTCGTTCGTAGATGCTGATGTAATCAACGGAACTCCAAAATTTTGTTTTGTTTGTCCACTATCAATGCTTTCTACGTAGAATTATTTTATAACAACTCGATAGTATCATGAAGTGTTTTTTGTCCATGTTATATTAGGTTATAACAGCGATGGCCTGCCACTTGACTCTAGAAGAGTTGTGGACAAATTCCAAGGACGGAAAAGGAGTGTGCTATCTGCCTGCTGAACTACAGGTTGTGGTCCGATTATACTTAATGACAATTTCCTCTCACCAAAAAAATTACAACACATGTTTTTTTAACGTGAATCATATTGTGTTGACAAAATTTCAATTGTGCAACTACCACATGGGCAGGAACTAGTGATTTCATGTGGAATAACACGCAAGATGGCATTAGACCTATACCAATCAAAATTCCTTAGTCGAACCAATATGGTGAACAAGGTAAACTGTTCGTCTTAATAAGTATTACATGGTTTGCAGTTTATTTTTTTAATACGTGTTGACAATTTCTGCATATGTAGGTGTGTGTTCCGATGAGAGATAATGCCCATTGGTACTTGGCTGTCATCAAGTTGGACAAGGAAGAAGTCCATATCTTGGATCCACAACCAAATGAAGTCCGCAATTCCTTTCGACTACAATCTGTTCAAACAATGGTAAATTTGTGACATTGTGCCGTTATAACGCAAAAAAATGTAAATAACTTTTTCTAAGTACAAACGTTTCTTAATTTGTACAGATGAGCTTTATGCAAGCCTTGTGGAAGATTCTCTGTCGTGAATAAGGATTGTCGCCACCAAGGATTGCGGAGTTTGCGTACCCAACTCCTTCAAAGGATCAAGAACAACTTAATCGGTAAGTATGCCCATTTTTTTTTGTGATATTAAACGACGTCTTATCAACTTGGTTCTTATCACGCAATGCTTTTATTTTATGTAGGTCTGACAGTGGAGTCTGGGTATGCATGTGGATGTTTGGCGCGAGCTGGGACTCCTCTTATATTTGGGTAAAGACAATTCTAATTCGCAAAATTAGAAAACCACAATTGATTGTTATTTTTGAATCATGCGGTAAGCACCATGTTTGTTGATGTTGATAGCCATGCACTCAAGTGAGGAGGATGCAGATCGCTTTGTACCTTGTTCGAGAGCCCATGAACTACATAAGGCATATGGTGCTCACGGAAGCAAGAAGAGTTGCACCTCAAGTTGAAGCTGCAGTGGAAGAGTACAAGACAACCCATGAAAAGAGGAAGAAGGAAAGAGAAGAGCACAAGGAAACCCAGTCAACGAGCCCAAAACAACCTGATTTTTCGTTTTAGTTTTCAAGATGATGGACAACAGTTATGTTTTTCTTTCTCAGGATGATGGACAACCGTTTTTTATTTGGTTCGGTGAATGCTTATTATTTTTGGTTTTTATATTTGGTTTGGTGAATGCTTTTTATATTTGGTTTTTGGTTTGGTTTGGTGAATGGTTTTAATATTTGGTTTTTGGTTTGGTTTTTGGTTTGGTGAATGCTTTGTTTATTTGGTTTTTGGTATTGTGAATGCTTGCTATATTTGGTTTTTGGTATGGTGAATGTTTTCTATATTTGGTTTGGTTTGGTTTGTTTTTTCGTGGAAATGGCAAAGGGACTTCACCAATATTCCA